GAAACTTTGGATTCTATTATTATAATTATTATTACTATTACATGTAGTAACTATTCTAAAAGCAAATATATAAAATATACCAAGTGTTGGTGTTGTGATGTGCTTGAATAGAGCATTCTCTCTCACTCTTTTTCGTTAACCCTGTCTCTTTTTTTTTATTTTTTAATACGTATTAACCATTTGTTTCTATAAAATGTCACAAAACTTTTGTACCAACGAAAGAGAATGTGTAACACGACCTTGCCAACACACCCATCTAGTTAGTATAGGAAAAGCCTTGGTAATACATTTTTATCGCAACCTTGATCAGTTATTTGTAATGATAAATGTATGTATGCTGTCCTAAGATATAGTAAATTAATTTTTATACTGAAGGAATGCCTTTTATTGCACCGAAACTTCTCTAACATTTAAAATGATAAATAACGAAATTATTGAGCAAACGGAAAAAAATATTTCATACAGGCGCTCATAAAAAAGAAGTTAAAATCATATTTATGAACTGTTTCTTATTATCATGTCAAAAATTAAAGTAAAATTTCCATTTATTCAACTTTAATCAAATTACAGTCACTACTCGAACCCACTGAATTCGACCAATTAAGTTTGTCAGAGGAAATTCGAGTTGAGGAAAATCTCTGCTTTTCCGTCACAGTTTTTAATCTTTATTTCCATGATATCATTTTAACGTATATTACAGTTGTAACTAGCCCACCGCTAATAACCCTTACAATCTCAGGCAATAAAAGTACTTCGTTCGTGGTGTCTTTTCCTACTACAAAGTTATGATCCTAACCATACTGTGAAAACTTATGGTGGGACAATTTACAATGTAAGTAAATATGTATGTCAAGGGAACACAAAAATATTCTAGTTAGAAAACATTTCGAGTTATAGAAGTTCGAGTTTGACTGTATCTATATATTTTTTTATATGCTTTCTGAAAATAATACAAAAAGAATGCCATTTCAACAGCAACTACATGAAGCCATATACGTATGTATCTAAATATTTTTTTACATATATATTCTATACTATCTTCTTCCAGTTCCATACTTTCACTTTTTAAGGTGGGTATATAATGTAACTAATAAATTAATTTATTTAATTTGAAAATTGAATAAAATATTTCAATTCCTATTAGATGTAATAAAATTATTTAATCTCTTACAAAAAGCTTTTCATTATTAATACTAGACAAAGGTTCATAGCACCATCAACATAATTATGAAGAATTTTTTTTTGTATAACTGTAACTATATAACTCTAACATAAAGTATTTTATTTATTGTTCGGTTGATGAACTCAACTATGAACATAAAAAGAAATTAAAACATAAATTACAAATAAGTTTGTTTTTGTAAATTTGTATTAATTTCTTTCAAAACTATATTGCAATTGAAACAATAAAAAAATGTACAAGTGCATATCTGTTACTGTAAAATGGTTAACAAATCCGTAATATATTCTAATGGAAATTACTTATATGGATATGGGTATTACAACAGTGACCTTTTGAAGCGATAGAAATTCACTTTTTGAAAGCACCTGGTACATGTCACACGCAATGTTAAGGCGGATGTTTGTGGTTTGGTTATTTTAAGAATCTGGTATTTACATATCAGTGAAAGTTAACAGAAGAAGACAAATGTAACAAAGGCTTGCTGTTCTGTTTTTAATAATAATTAAAAGTAAAGCTATAAATATAAACATTCAAAATATATACAGACCTACAACTTTCATATATCATAAAGGTTCAAGTAATCCCGCTTGTATCTGGAAATTGCATGGTTTGAATTTGAAATAGCTTTTTTTTAAAAAAATTTTATGACGTATGTATTCCATGTAATGAAATGAATTCTTAAGCCATTTTTCACGATGGGATAGGAATGTTGTAAACAAATTTACAGTAGTATTATGAAGATGAAAAGTTTAATTCTTTGTAGGAAATAATTCTTCAAAATACATACTGGATTTTCAAAATTCTTTCTTCATTAAAAAGTCTTTATTTCTAGAAGCGGGGATAGCCTAATTTATTATTTGAGGGCATATATTTAGTTTCATTTTCTTGCTTCCGTAATTTATGGATTTATTATTTTTTTCAACTTACCACAGTTAGAACACACCCACGATTAGGTGCAAGTTTTTATTTGAGTACAAGAACGTACTGCAATAAAAATCGATACACCTTATAAATAACTCGTTACAAAAAGCAAAATACTGTTAACTGTTAACATACCAAGGGGAAGGAGCACGGCTTTATAGAGGGTGTGAAAAGTGAATGCTAAGCGCGGCAGAATGAAACGGGGACGTTATAAACTTGTACGTTAAGGTGCGTACATCTATCCATTCAGAGATGTGATTTATTTGAAATACTTTCATTTAAAATGCAAATACAAAATAAAAAATACGTTTTTTTATCTTGCATTTAAATACTTTTCTGAGATAAACATTTCGTAAATGGATAATCTAAAATATTGGACCGATATTGTTTTCTAGGTTTAATGTCATGGTCCATGAAATTTTGAAGTTTCCAATTTGATATCAACACCAGTCAAATCACTAGGTACTTATCGTACCTTTAGCAAGGAACTTTAAAATTCTATGAATTACTACAAAACAGCTCGCAAACGTGTATGATCCAAAATTCCTAGAAAAACTAGAAACTTTGGATTCCATTTCCTTCTCTTATTGCAGTGCAACATTTAGAAAACGAGCAAATGCCTGCAAGGTTTTTTTAAAAAAATATTTTATACTTAAGTACTTAAATGTTGAAAATTAAAATAGGTGGTAGAAAAGTGTTTATTTAAAAAAAGTATCTTGAAAATACGTATTTTGTATTTAGCATTTAAAATACAAAAGGGAAATCTATTTTGTATTTTACATTTGAAATAACAAATCAAAAAA